TAGCCTAAACCTGCCCTTTTCTTGCTTAAAGCCATTACCCCTTGTCCTGTCACTACAAACCCCTGTGAATAGTCCTTCCCCTGCTTTCTCGTAGGCCCCTCTCAGGTACTGGGAGGTCACTATAAGGTCCCCCTGGAGCCTCCTCTTCTCCAGGCTGAACAGCCCCAACTCCCTCAGCCTGTCCTCACAGCAGAGCTGCCCCAGCCCTCACAGCATTTTTGTGGCTCTAAATATGTTCATATAAATGTTCATATAAATCCCACTGAACATATTTGCCTGCTTTAAAAATCATCTTCTATGAGTGCAAAAATTTTTTACACTTAGATTTATTTTTTTTTAAAAGAAACCCCAAGAATACCAGATTTGCTTTGGGCATGTTCTCACCACCAAGATTTTATGCATCTCAAGTCTCTCTTTAATAGGGAAGAGCCTGTGGATGAAACTACATTAGGGGATTTATGGTAGCAGCAGTCAGGGCAGGGTGTTCCTGGCATGCTACGAGAGGGTTTTTAGGCTGCTAATGGCCAGTACATATAACAACTGTCCTAGACCTGTGCTGTTCTTGGAGGCCCAGGGCAGAGCAAGGCTCAGGACAGCAACAATATGAGACAAGCACTCGGCTATCCATGCTAAACTACAGCCAGCTGCAGCTCAGGACCACCCAGAGCAGAATAATCCCAGCTCAATTACCAGGCACTTTTAATATGTGGCTGAAAAAAAAATAGCTGTAGAATTACTGCCCTTTAGAGACCAGGAACGCGTGGCCAACTCTCCACAGCCTGGGCTTTGAGTAGCTACGTAGTACCTCTGCAAAACTGGGTAAAAAAAGTTATATTTTTAAAACTGAACCCCTTTCACTGACAGCGCAGGATCCCTCTGAATGCCTATGACAACCCCAGAAGCTGTGCTGAGAAAGATGGCCACAGACCTGTTCCCCCACAAAGAGTTATTCACTGCTTCTTTAGCCGTTGTCTGCAGGGAACCCAGTTTAACGTGGGCGTTGGAGGAGCCTGAGGAAGCCTGGGAAGGGGAATAGTCTGAGTAAGTGCCTGAGGAAACGCTGTTATTCAGACAATGGATCTTATCTGCTTCAGACTCATCTGTCGACTCTGAAACAAAACACAGCACACGTTTTCAGGGGGTGGGATTTGCAAAACAAGCTCCAAATTAATACAGTTTAAAATTGATACTACAGATAGACACATACATGTGCACAAATATGCATGTCAGATGTCTTAAAATCAGAGTGTAGAATGTCTTAAGCAATGTCTCTGTGTACGTGACATACACTTTCACCCAAAAAGTTGGAAGCCAAGTCAGTACCTTTCTTGTCTTTACCCAGAAGGACAAGTTTGGGTGGGTACAACGGAGTCTCTGGCATGGAAGGACGAAGTTCCCCTATCCTCATCTCACTGGCAGGATGTCCAAAGGCATCCTGAGGAACATAATAACGTAGAGTAAACATAGGAAACAGAACCTGCTTCAAACTGCAATGAACAAACATTTCACAGCCTTCTTTTGATGAAGGTGACAACACCCCAAAACCCCACCAGCCGGGTAGTGTCTAATCATGCTCATTTGTCAGCCCCAAATTCTCATCAGTCCTACACAAATACTTGCAAAAATGATGGTGATGTGCTTGTTCTGAAAACGTGGACAAAACAGATGGAACTTGCAAGACACACCAAGGCCATGTAAACATTTCTGATGAGGTAAAGGTCACAAAAATACAAGCTGCCAGTAGAAATAAATAAAAATCTAGAATAAACTAATACTTCTTGTTTCAGGAGTAAGTATTCCTCATTCATTTATTCATGGTACAAGTCCTTCCATAGATTCAGCTGTCCTCATAGCTCTATTTAATTAAAATGAGTTTGTTTCTGAAGAGTTTTTTTTTGCTAAATTCAAATGGTTCAGATTTCATAAACTTCTCCTTGAGAGGTCAATAAATCTTGAACTTCAAAGACTGCCCTGCACAAGTGTTTTGCTCTTCTAGCTGGCAACAGGTTAGACAGTGAAAATCATGAGTTAAAAAGTGGAAAGCAAGTGAGATATAGTCTTAGAGATATTTGAAATTAGGAGATTTAAATTTGGCTCACAGGATAGCTAGAAGGGAGTGAAGACACTGACAGGGAATCTCCAACATTTCTCATCCCTGGAAAAAGTTCAGAAATGAGCAAGATGCTGACCTGGAGGTAGGTGTCTTGGGGAGACAGGGTCTCCCCCCCAAAAAAACCCAACTCCCTCAGTGCTAACAGTCAAGCAGCTACAGCTACACCCCAATTCTCACAGGGTGCAACATATCTGAGCCTTCAAACTCCTTTCACATGCAGAGGTTCCTTGTGGGTGGTGTGTCTAACAGGACAGAGGTGATGGACAACAGTGCAAGAGCATTCCTCCAGTGCAGCACAACCACCTTCTAGTGCTGTGCAACAAACTGCTGCAAAACCATTTTCTGAGAAGAGCAGTGCAGAGTGTCCCCCCTGGGTGACATTCTCCACCTTGGGATCACGTTGAGTTTCGTGTTGTACCTCTGAGCTTTTTGTTTGCTCTTCTTCCTCCTTCCTGCCTGGGGTTTCCAGAGCTGTTTCATGAGTGTTGTCTGGATCAGACAGGGAACTCTTTTGCAATTCTTTATTTTCTGTATCTTGAACCTAGAACCCCAATATTGTGCCGTGAAACTTCCAAAATTTATAAGCTTAGAATAAAATTTCCTGCTGTAAGGTAGGAAGAACCAGCAGTGCAATTTTTGACATCACGATGAGCACAAGGGTTTATTTCAGGTGCATGATTTTATGAAGGTTTCTATGCCATATTATTTTCTTTGTTCTTTTTCTTCTTCTTAGCCCCTAGTCCAGCTATTCCAACTAAAATCCATGCACTTGTGAAACAACTAGTCTGGCATTTGCCATGAAAGTGAAATATGTTGTTAAAAAAAACCAAAAGCACGTTCCATTTAATTCCACTCTTGTTAAAAGGGCATTTTTTTCTTACAAGCCCAAGAACAAAAAGGTCACTAATAGGAAAAAAAAAAATGATTAGTAGGACTAAAAGCAAGAACAAGGGGAAGAGATAAATGCAATTGTGTCAGAACTTATTCCTCAGGACTAACCAGAGAAAGATATAACCAGAGGAGAGAAAAAAAACATGTGGTGAGCTGTTTCCCAAGAGAAAATAAATGGTAGAACCCATGAAAATAACTGGGAAAGAGAAATGTCACCAATTATTCAAGCTGACAACACAAGAATGTTAAATTATAATCTAGAGAGGTGGGATTGTTAAAATAACCTCACTCTTCAGAGTCTGCTTGCAAAGAATATAGAGCCTTGGACCAGAGCAGAGCAGGGCTCTGGGCAGACACAGCACACACAGGGCAGGGGAAGGTGGGACCAGTAATGATGGATCTGTTCCAGAGGAACAATGAAAGACATGTAAAGCCCAGATTTTATTAAAAATTGAAAGAAAGAATAAAGGAGATGACAGAAAGTGTAGGGTCAAATGCAACCAGGCAGCCATCAGAACATCCCTAGAATCACAGAATGACTTTGGTTGGAAAGGACCTCTAGGGTCGTCAGGTCCAACCATCATCCCAACATCTCCCTAACCACTAGACCAAAGCCTCAAGTGCTGCATCTACTCATTTTTTGATCCCCTTCAGGGATGGTGACTCCCCCACCTCCCTGGCCAGCCTGTTCTAGTGCCTGACCACACTCTCAGTGAAGAAATTCTTCCTAATATCCAACAGAAACTTCCCCTGGTGCAACTTGAGGCCATTTCCTCTCATCCTACCATCAGTAAATTGGGGGAAGAGACCAACACCAGCCTGACTCCAACCTCCTTTTAGGGAGCTGTAGAGAGCAAGGTCTCCTCTCAGTCTCCTCTAAAGATACAAGCAAGGCTCACTGAGGCACAGGCTTCACCACTGGTGTGGTTTGGTCCAAATCCTCACTGAACCACTCACCCAAAGTCCCACTAAACAACCTTCTCCTGACAAAATTCCATCCCAAGCTCAGCGTGAGAGAGGCAATCACAGCACTGGATATTTTGCTGCCTAAGCTAGCAACGAGCAGAGTGATCTAAATAAAATTGAGTCACCCCAAAACATGGGATTGCCCCAGAGGAAAGCAGAATGGGGGATCTTCCACCTGCTCCTAAATCTCTTCCACTCTCCTGTCTTTAGAAAAGCCAGTTTTTCTTGGTGTCCAAAATGCACGTCTTTCAAAACGACTTAGGACAATTAAGAGGTTTATTTTAATGGATTATTAATTAGGAAATTGTTAACTTATTGTAACTGAAGGTGAAGGATGATACAGGGGATTTGAAACGTAGCTTGTAACTCATTTCAGATGCTCCCTTTAATTATTTAGGAAGAGTTTTGTGAAGAGACACGTGTAAATTAATTGCAAGAAACCCCAAAAGGGCTCAGAAAAGAAACCAGCTGATCTGGCCTCTGAGGATGGAAAGTGAGCAATTAAATGACCTTGTTGCTAGAAACTGTATTCAGCCTAAATCTGCATCACACCTGCATTTCCAAGTTGTGCTTTAACCTGAGGCTTGAGATCACCTCTCCTAATTATCTGAAAAGCAAAGGCAGCTTAATTATGTTTTATTGAATACGTTACCACAGAAATCACGCCAATATTATTCACAAAATCATTCACATTTTTTCCTACAGTGCTTCTTTATTTTCATGCAGGAAGGAATGGGAGGAAAATGTCATCCTGCCTTGTACACTTTTTTTATTTAGTTGTCTTAGCAGCCTTGACTAAATACTAAGGACACCAAAATCTGCAAAAGTTCTATTTTCACTGTTAATCATGACAGAAAATGAAAAATCCATCTTCCCTGACATAACAGAAATAGTTCTGCACTCAGACCAGTTGCCTGCAGTAGTGTTGTGGTTTGAGGCTTGGAATGGGGGCGTGACCTTCCAGCAACTGGGAGGAGCCCGGGTGGGGGTGAACCATTGTATTCCCTCCCCTTCCCACACACACTCTGATAAGAGGCAGGGAGTGGGTTCTAATTTCACTCCTGCCTTGGAGCTCGGAGAGGGAAGTTGTCCTTTCACTCCGTGGGACCCTGGAACCATTTCTGAGGGTTTTGTATATTTTATTTTTTGTCTTATTCCCCTAATCTTTGTATATATTATTTTCCTTACCTCCCTTTTTCGTTTTCTGTTCCTTGTTGAACAATATACTTCATTTTTTTTTCAAAAGTCTCTCTCTCTCTCTCTCTCTCTCAGGGGGGGAGAGGTGAGTACATAGTTCTGTTCCGTGTGGGTCCTGCCCTGATCCCCTTTTTACACGGAACCAGGACAAGTAGCAAATTAACTAGGATGTTGCAATGCCATTAATTAATTGCACTTCAGGAATTACCACAGGGCCTTCAAGAATTCAGCTGGTTTTACAGAATGCTTTTTGTGATACTCCTGCAATTACCAGCTCATGTGCACTCACAGGAAAACCAGATGTGTTTATTTTCCTGTTGCATTTTCATGTCTCAGGTCTGATGACCACACACCTCATGTCTTTGTTAGACAGCACTGACTCAAACTCCAGTTAGACAATATGAGTGTATGGTCACAGTGGGGTTAATTAAAACCTGCACAGAGCTGTTAAAATTATCCAGGTTGAAAAGCCAGAGAATACAAAATAAATTGTCTGTATTCAGCACCAATGGGAGAACAAGTCAAGAACAAGACACAACTTAGCTCAAAGGCCAGATTTACACAGTCATAAAGAATTTAGGGAGTGAAAAGGAATAATGGTGGAACTTAAGAGTTTAGGTTTGGATAAAAAAAAACACGAATGCTTTAACTTCAACAGTTTGGTTTGAAATACTAATCAAAACCATGCCTGGATTTGAAGACATTCTGAAGCCATCTTAAAAGAAAACGTTTTGGTGGGGTTTTTTTAAAGAAATAAGTTTTTAGCTGTAAATAAACCACCCAGGATTGACAGAGTGACTGTTGGATATGTAAGAACAGCCAATCTGTGTTAAGGATATGGAAAACCAAGGAAGAAAAACTCCTCTATGTGCAGCTAGCCTGAGACAGGGATATTTCAAGGACAGCAAATTAATCATAATGGTAAAATAACAAAGGAGTGAAAAGATAACGTGGTTTTTTTTTTTCCCCCTCCCTCATTTATTCCTTTTGAACATTAAGACTTGATAAAGAATTTCAAGACCTTCTAGGCCTGTCCAAGCTTATAAACTACCTGCCAGGGTAAGAGATCTCCCTGATTTATAAATGGTGCCTGCACACAGCAAGTTGCTAGTGTGAATGTTATTGAGTGGGAGCTCTCACAGCCCAATCTCCAGCTCTTTGAAACAGCTTTGCACAAAATGGCAAAAATTCAGGAATTTGCCTTTCTGTGACTGTATTCTTGTTAGAATAGGAAGATTTTGTTCCTGGGCATATTGACCCACTCCAGGGGAACACACTAAGGGCCAGAATCTGCACCACAGTGAGTCGCTGGTCAGGGGCAGCCTCATCTGAAGCAGTCAAGGACACACTCCTGCTGTCTTTGTTAACTTCTGACAAGGTTAATTAGCCATCTACTACATGCAATGGGAACAGAAGCAGCAGAACCTGATGACATAGCAGGGTCCAACAGAACAAACTGATTTATCATTAATCAGTTTGACTCAGAATTACAGTTACCGAAGCCTGAGATGCAAATCCTGCTCAGGTCTCCTGCTAGCATGCAAGTCTCTCATCTCATTAAAATCTAGCAGAGTGTTTGCATATATCAATACCAAAATCCAGATCTGAGTAGACTTAAACCCAAAAATTGAGGCTGATAAACTGAGCAGAACTGAGGAAAAACAAGTCAAGAGAAAGCTGAAGCCACTTTATGGAATGGAATGAGAACCTCTCAGGTTTAAGTTCAGAACATCACTCGATGGAGCCTTCTCCACCTCTTGAGAGGAACACCAACCCTCCCACATTACCTCCACTGAGATCTCCTTGGGTGTCATGGGCCACTTGTGCTCATACTTTTCCTTCCCAGCTGGTTCACTGTTCACAGCTGCCGTGGAGTTCTCGGGCCGCACTCCATGGCTTGGTTTGCCCACCAGATTTTGAACTGATTTCACCATATTCTTTAAATCCTCAGGGTATGGAGTGGGATAACGTTTGAGATTTATTTCAACCTGAACGTTCATAAAAAAAAGAATTAAAGCACAAATACAGGATGAAAACAGCATGCAAACCAATCCCATGGATACAGTGCTGTGGCTAAAAGTGCCAACTCCTCCAACATTCCACGGCCCTGTTTGAGGCAAGGTGTCATGGACAGCACTCTTCATGGATTTTTGGGCTGAAATTTGCTCTCAGTTGCACTGTGTCAACCCCTAATGGAATTTTGGGGCCATAAAATAACAGATGGGGATGGTTCCCCATAAGCCTGTGAGAGTGTTGTATTTTAATTCTACACTTTGCCTGTGAGTACTGACAGATTGCATCACAATTTTTCAGAACTACACTGGTGTAAGTGTAAATTGGAGCCTCTCCCTAATATCCAAACACCAGAATAAATCCAACAGAACTTACCTTAACTTTCCCTGCATTTTCCTCCTCTTCTTTTTTCTCTTCAAACTCAAAGGCAACAGTCATACGTTGCTGTCTCTGCTCCTCCCACAGAGTAGGGTTAAAACTATCACTGTCTGACTGGAAATCTACAGTTAGATTGCAAACAGCAATGCACAAGAACAAGTCATTAGTGGACCCAGAGGACTGGAAATTATCTCAACAGAGCCTGGGATCTTGGATTCTTGTCTTAAAACTGCAGAGGGGAAATGAGAGTGATAACTGATAAACAAACAGAACTTAATATTAAGATTGAAATGAGGGTGATGGGAAGCAACAGGGTTTTGGGATAGATCTGGAGCAGAGAGGGAGTATGAAAACTCTCTACGTGAGGAGTCTAACCATCAGTTCCATCAGACTCAGAGCTCTGAACCCCACTCACACCCCCAGTTTTACCTTCATCACTGCGGGGTTGCTGGGGAAACATGTAGTTGGTCAGCACCCTCTGCTTTGTTTCGGGGTGAGCCTCTGTTTGCAATGGGATGAGAGCCTTGGACTGCACAGGAAAGACAAAACGAAGAGAAGTTAGCTTAGAACATGTGTGATGGGATTCTAGTGTCTGGGAAGTAGAAAATACAAGATGAAGTAAAATTCTGCATGGAAATAAAGTGGTTGATGGACTACACCAAGTCCTAGTTTGGTGGAAATGCCTCCTCTCCCATCCTCACTTCTGTCATTCCTACAGAACACTCAGTGTCAGAAACACAGGTCACACCTTCAGGTTCATGGAATCACAGAGTGAATCACAGAATGGGTTGGGTTGGAAGGGACCTTAAAGGGCATCTAGTTTCCTCTGCCATGGGCAAGGACACCTCCCACTAGAGCAGGTTGCTCCAAGCCCCATCCAGCCTGGCCTTGAACACCTCCAGGGATGGAGCATCCACAGCTTCCCTGGGCAACCTGGGCCAAGGTCTCACCAGCCTCACAGGGAAGAACTTCTTCCTAATTTCACATCTAAATCTCCCCTCTTCCAGTTTGAACTCACTACCCCTTCTCCTATCACTAGAAGCCCTTGTCAAAATTCCCTCCCCATCTTTCTTGTAGTCCTCCTTCAGATACTTGAAGGTTGCCATGAGGTCTCCCTGGAAATCTCTCTTCTCCAGGCTGAACAACCCCAGCTCTCCCAGTCACAGCAGTGAGGAAGCCAAAGGATCAGGAGAACAGAGCTACAACTCCACAGTTAAAACACCCACAGTATGGTTATTTTAATTTAGGGCTAATGAGGAGTAAACTCATTCTAGTTATTGGTTCACTTGAGGGCAAACCTGGTGCAAGTCATTGGGGAATTTACATGGAGGTACCCTGAATATTCAGCTGTGCTTCGCTTCAATTGGTTATTTTTATTATTGCTTTGCTATAATAACACCTAGGAGTGATTATTGTAGTTCATAGAGTAAAATTAATCTGTGTAAAAGGCAAAATTCTGCAATAACATTGTGCATTTCAAAGGAAGTGTATGTTCTGTGGCTGGGTGGAGTTGTCATGCAATGATTTTTTTTTTAGGGGAATCAGAGTGAAAAAAAGACAGCCCTAATCTAAAATATTAAAATTTATTTTCATTTATAATTAAATCATGGAAGTGCAAAATGAGTTTATCCACCAGTCCTGGAGAGGATTGAGATTTATTTCAGTGCTCAGATGTTTGTTGTGCTGTGACATTTCTCAGGGCTCAGGTCAAGTAATTTCTTTTAAAATAGGATCCTAAAGAATATATAGGAGTGAAACCAAAGCCCCTGGAACAAAGAAAGGTGTGGTTAAAAGGAACTTATATGATTGACCCAAGTAGAAAGCCAGACTGGGAGCAAATACTCACAAAATTCTACCACAATCGTGTGAAATCACAGGTTTCATTTCACAGCCCCTGGTTACTACAGAAAATAGGAATATTGAAAATCATTACCTGGTTGTCAGAAAGCCACAAAGCTGCAAGTTCTTTAAGTTTAGTAAAAGTGAAGGGTAAATTCTTCAGCCTGTAAATGAGAATATTGTAACAACATGAAGCCCTCAATTTCACAGTCGTTTCTTTTAATAATTTGATTGCAGCATGTTTATCTTCATCACACTGAAACAAGGATAATTTCCTCTATTTTCTCTCAATTTTTACTAAAATCTAATAGTCATTAATGATATTCCACATTAGGAGTGACTTTTTGAGTCAAAAACTACTGACATCACACCCTAAAGGTACTTTTGAGATACCTTTATTTTGCCTTGCCTATAATGTGACCAAAATTACAGCTTATAACACAGAAAACAGAAAAAAATCTTGGTCTTGACTTGTAGGAAAGACTTAAGAGTTTTCAGCATAGATAACAGAAATCCTTTTATTTGCCATCAAAGTTTTGGAACAGAAATACTCTAAGATGAATGAAAATTCATAATTTTTTTCCCAGAAATGTTAGGAAAAAATATTAAAATAATATAAATATTCATAGAGGACCTAATTAAACAAAACAGGAAAAAACTGGCATTTTAATGATCGATGTAAACACGTTTCCTAAAAGCAATCTGAATGTGGGAATGGGGAAATGATGATGTGTGGAGACTTCATTCACCTTTTTGGAACTAAATCTGAACAGATTTTTTACTTTTCCAGGTACCAAGAGATGGGTTCTGTCCTAATCACACTCTGATGCTCCCCAGTCTTTGTCCTGCAGAAGGTTGAGGAGCTGGAGGACTGGAGGAAGAAAGGGACTGACCAAAGCACTGTCTCCAAGCTAAATGTGATGAAATAAAAAGAGGGAAAAACCTTTTTCTGAGAGTCAGATGATGCCATAAAGTGGAAAGAATGGTTCTTATCTTCACTCCCACCTGAGACAAAGCCACCACTATGTGCTCCACCTACCTGGCACCACCAGGTGAATCCTTTGCCCCTCTACAGCAAATACCCAACAAATCTTCCTCAGATTCAAACCCCATCTGTATTCCTGGGAGGTGAGCACCTCACCAGCTGCCTCTCTGCAGTGCTCTGGAAGTGTAATTCCAGGCTGGAATTGGGAATCTTACTGCCAGGAACACAGTTTAAAGATTTTTAATCAGAATACCTTAAACTAGAAATGATAAAAGAGAAATAAACTGGTCTGAATGTGGACACCCACAGAGTGTGCCAGGACATCACCTCCAATTCAATGTCCATACAGATCAGAGCAGTTTATAGTACAAGAACTTTTGCTTTTCAAGGAATACCATTATTTCTTTACCCTTCAGGATTCTGTGCTTGTAAAGCAAGTTTCAAAACTACACAGAAACCTTTTTTTTTCTGCAGGGTTTTACTGGTGATGTGCCCAACACACTCAAGGTGACAAGTGTGTATCAAAGAGAGAAGGAAAACTCAGAAGTTTCAGAAATTATGTGTGCCAAGGGGAGCTTCATTTCATGATCAAATCCCAGAATTCTTTTAATTCTTCTTTCCCAATAAGCTTGGCTATCTCTTTTTAAACATCCAAAATGGTCTAATTTTAAGAAACCTTTAAAAGAAAAAATTTTGACTTCGAGATCAAAGCACAGAGGCACCTAAAATAATATTTTTTTTTTGAAAATTTTCAATCCAGATAACCCTCAGCCTCTTTTTCTAATCACAACTTGATTTTGTAAGTTTTAAACTGCTTTCTGAGTTGTGTACTGCAGGAACATTTCTCCTTCATCTGTACCAACAATGCAAACACTGACTTTAATGAACAACCTAATTACCAAGTGATTTGGCATCATGCCCACTTTCAAATCCAGGCCCATGGTAGTTGTCACAAAAGGTAAATACAGAAATGATTTTCTGGCTTCATCAAATTTTTGGCTGGGCTGTCAACAGAGAGCTTTTCTTTTGTGCTGAAAATCCTCACTAGACGGTCTGGAAAATGACTTTTCTAATTGTTTTTCTAAATCTAAGGGGAAATGTATTCACAGCACTGGAGGAAACTTTAATTGGTGCACAGGTAGTTAATTAAGATGCTGGGCAAATGAAATTAACTTACAACTCAAAGACAAACTGTGCTGCACCAAAGTGACTTATTCTTTTGATGGGTTGTGTTTTCTTTTGACTGAAGAAAACACTTTTGCACGAGGCCATTTCTCTGCTGTTTGAAAGAACAGCATCCAGAGACAGGAGCCATAGAATCCCAGAATGGGTTGGGTTGGAAGGGACTTTCAAGATCATCTAGATCCAACCCAACAGCAGGGACACCTCCCACTAGACCATGTCACTCAACTCCTCCAGGGATGGAGCATCCACAGCTTCCTTGGGCAACCTGGACCAGGGTCTCACCACCCTCAGAGTGGAGAACCTCTTCCTAACTTCTAATCTAAATCTCCCCTCTTCCAGTTTGAACTCATTACTCCTCATCCTTTCACTACAAGCTCTTGCCTGAAGCTCTGAGCAGCTTGATCTAGTTGGAGATGTCCCTACTTAGGGCAGGCAGGTTGGACTAGATGATTTTTGGATGTCTCTTCCAGCCCAGACATTCTGATTCTATGATTCTATGATCCCCATCTTTCTTGTAGGCGCCCTTCAGATACTGAAAAGCCACCAGAAGGTCTCCCAGGAGCCTCTGCAGACTGAACAACCTCAGCTCTCTCTGAATCTCCAGAACTTGGCAACCACCCACAGGCTTTCTTACATGAGCAATAGTTTAATTCCTCTGCAATTCTTTAATCACTAACTTCCATCTCTTAAACTGACCTCTAGAAAGAGCTGAAAATGTGATAGCCAAATAAATATCTCAGTGCTCTAGAGATGATCTCTGTACTCAAAGGGATGAGGTTAAATTACAGGTAAAATCATGTTTTAATTGGTTAAATGTTTAAAAATTATTAATAAAAGTATTTCTTTTAAGGTAAACTCTGAAGCACCAACAGATTATTTAGGAGAACAACTATTCAGAGGAATAGTTGGGAAAAGCATGAAATCCACCTGTTCTTTTTTTAGAGTGTTTGATTTTCACACTGGAAATGGTTTCTTATGAGAAAAAAAAAGGAGAACTTCCCCTGCAGTAAGTTCTTCAAGTGAATAAACCCAAAATAACCCAAAAAACAGCATGTTTTTTGAAATGAGACCCCTGAACACTAAGTTGTTGTACCTTATGACTTCACAGCCTCAAAGAAGCCACATCAGTGAGGACTGCAGAATAATTCCTTCCATTATTAAACCTAGAATCCTTTAGCATGATTTAAGTTCATAAGTTCTTAAATACTTTGAGTCAAGTCAATGTATATTATTCATGGAACACAGGAAAAGCAAAGAAAACATCACTGATACTGTTTAAATATAAAGAATATCAAATGCTGATACTTTTCTTTACAATAACCCACTACATATCTGTACTAGGCACTAAATTTTGGGGTTGTTATGCCCTTAGTAAGCAAGCTCAGAGTATGGGAAGAGTTTCCATCGATTATTAGGGTAACACAACGTATGAAGAGCTCACCCAACACCCAGGAGAACACCTTCCAGCTTCACTTTGCTGACATTCAGGAAGAATTTTCAAATAATAACCCAAACATGACCAATTCCTCACAGAACAGGTTGAAAGTTGATGGTAACAAGCAGCACTCCCAGTCAGTCGGTCAAGCTGCTATTTGTGACAGTTCTCCAAGGTAACCCTGAGCAAATTGGCAACAGTGGGGTGGGGAAGTTTAAAAGGAGGTGATTCATGTCAATCCATCCCCTTCACAAAACCACTGGTGGGTACACATGGCCAGAAGTAATCACCTCTTTGGCAATATTGAGTAATTCAACGTGTAACCAGCAAAAGAAAAGCCACACTAGGTCTTGTTTTGGGTTGACTGTGAGATCTTAGGGTCTTTTTCCATCTCACCTCTGCGGGTGAGACTCAGCAATGGAGTTCTGACCCCAGGAGAGAAGCAGAAGCAGAGCAAACACAGAAAGGTGCTGATTCTTTCAGCTAAGAACAATCTCAAACTAAAAGAAAGGTTACTTACCAGTAACCGATGCTCTTTGAGAAGTGTAGCCCAAATGTACATCCTAACAATTCTACCTCTCAATCACAGGACTCAGACCTGGAAGGACTCTGAGGAGAGAGGAGAAGCAGATGGAAGACAAATGTATCTGTGGACTACACATTGGGAAGAACACCGGTTACTGGTAAGACATCTCTTTTTGCTTTGAATGAATCCCACGTGTACTCTTAACAGGGACTGAAGCCAAGCAGCCCCCCCCCAACGACTCCCTGCGTGGTGAGAGGTCTCCACATCTTTCATGCCAGCAGTAACTGCACTTTAGGAAAGGCTGCAGCAGTCCTTGAAGCACTGGAGACAGCATTACACCTGGGAAAGGCATGGATGATACCTCCAGGTGGCTGTACTGCAAGTATCTGGGGTCAAAACTTCCCTAAATTCAGAGGGTGAAGGCATCAAAGCTCAGCTGCACGTTAGGCTCCACCTTAGCAACCTGAGAGCAAGTCAGGACTCAACCCATCATCATCTTTTATTGTGTAGGACAACTGAATATTGTATTGCCCAGGGATGAAGAGGGTTGGAAAGGTTTGGATCAAGGAGAGCCAAGATCTCCTTGGACGTTGGTAAAGTGGACTCCCAGCTACAGAGATGAGAAGTACAGAGATGGCCTTAGGCTGTATGGAATGGAGAAGAATAGCTGGAGTCTAGCTGCCTGGTTAAAATGGAATTGTAACATGGGTATTTGAAGAAAGTCCTGGAACCACAACTGCTTCTGGTCATTTAAGATCAGCAAGGTCCACCTTACAGTGATGAGGGCCTGCAGAAGCCATGGAACAAGAGTGAAAGCAGCTGAAACCATAGTGTTAAAAATGCACCAGAGAGGAACCCCACACTGACCCACCTTGAGTAAAATGTGTCAGATCCCAAAACTTTGAGAGTCCCATTAGCCTGAGTGGCAGAGAGGTCTCTGTCCAGCTTGCCTTCTGCCTGAGAGACATCCAGTCAGGACTTGAGACCAAATTTCCCAACATGTTTCAAACTTCCCACCCAGACAAGCTCCAGAAAACACAATGGAAGGAGAGCTCCTCTTTTTCTCCACATGCCACACCACGCTCACCATCACTCCATGTGTCTGACCACTCAGAGAGCAGACTGATATCTTTTCATGCACTCCTGCAAGGCAAGTTGAAGGCCACCAACAGCCCTGTACTCTACATCCCTTGGGCAAGAGTGAACTCCATAAGGAACGTGTCCAGGATGAAATTTTTGGTGGCATCTCTCAATAAACCCTTGAGTAGCCCAGCTACTAGCAGAGAAAGTCACTGGGATAAAGGCAAAGGTGTCAGAGGTTAATGGCTACACAAGTGCAACAAAACCAGCCACAGATGTAGACACCAGAGGTGAAATCTGGCATCTGATAGAGCAGGAGGAGACCACCCTAAGGTACCATTCACTGGGATGAACCTGCAGTGGCCAGATCCCCAGTGGAAGTCTGTGTGCCCTCTGTAAAACTAGACAGCCCTGATGGTCAGCATGCCCTGGCAGTCACGGTGACAGAGTCTGTCCCCCCAAGAAGAAAATTAGGTGCAAAGATGCAGGAGCCACTGGACACCTGCCAGAAGGGACAGAAAACCCTGCTCAGCTTCAGGAGGGGAAAGTTCTACAAGACCAACCAGATAAATTGTGAAAGAGTAGCACAGAACTCCAGATTCACAGAATGGTTTGAGTTGGAAGGGACATCAAAGGTCACTCGGTTCCAAAGCCTCTGCCATGGGCAGGGACACCTCCCTGGAGCACATCCCAGGAGCCCATCACCGTAGGGTGAAGGACATGCTCTGACTGACCCCTTGGCTTGAAGGGTCTCCAGGAAGGGAGCTGGTGCTCTCTACCTCCTGTGTCATAGCTGAAGCAGGAGGAGCAGAGGGGCAAAACTCTTGTGGTAAGATGGAAAGGTTCCTAGCAACAAGTGGAGCCCAAGCATGCTCCTTATCAGCATGTGGGCTCCTTCAAAGAAAGAATGGATATTGCCTTCAAATGAGTGTGAAAAGGGGAAAACAGAAAAGTAAAAAAAGAAATGGATAAAAAAAAAATCAACATTTAGATTGTATCTGAACTTAATCCAGCCTCTTTGGTGACAAAATGTTGAAACTTTGTAGTCTCAACGACAAAAGTGGGAAGTTCTGTAGCAAAAGCACCATCACGATGTCTCAGCAGGGCAACACTGAACCTCAGCTGGAACTGGTAACAACAAAGGAGGAAAAATTTGTTCCCCAAGCTCCTCAAGAAAAGTAAGTGAGAGGTTTCATCAGGTTTAGAGGTTGAAGGTCTACACTCTGAGTCAGTTCCCAGCTCTGCTAGTCCAGGCTGAGCCCTCCCACTAGTTCTGCAATGCTTACAACTTGCTGGCCAGCCTTTTGGGGTGACCTGAGGAGAAGAGCTTCCCACCCCAGCAGGGGAAGGTCCTGCTCTCCTGCCCTCCTCACACCCATCTGGTGCACAGCCCTTGTTTACCCGTAGCTGGTTTGGGTTTTGCCAGACTCCATGAGGAGCAAATGGACCATGAGGAGCCTCAGAAAATGAACATAGGAAGAAGAAAGAGAGATGCCTCATGCAGGCACCTCCTCCTCCTCTCACCTCAGCCAGAGCACTCACACTTAGGAACTACACAAGAAGTCCTGGGCCTGAGATCAGCAGCTGACCTGGCAAAGCAGCATCTTGGAAAAAAAAAAACAAACCAAAAAAAAACCAAAAAGGAAAGAACCACCCCCAAAACCATCCACAAGTGTTGTGGTTCCTCAACACAAACTCATGGAATGACAGCTCTGGGAAGGGGGAAGAGTGACCCAGCCCCAGTTGCTTTAATGGGCCATGGAAGGCTCCTTGCAGCTCCAACCCCCCTGATCTGATTCTTCCCCACTTCTCTGCCCACTTTTTGCCTCCTCCGAGGTGGCACCAATGTTGGCATGGCAGTAAGAAGGTGGAGCAGCCACCTGAAAATTCACTGCATTTCTGGTGGGCCGCTTTCACCCGTACCACTCGTACTCAAGATCACCAGACACCTGAAAAAAATTGTCCTAGGACAGGACACGTGGATGCACAAAGAGCTGAGGGAAGTTGGACTGCCATTGTTGGAATGAAGTTGATGAGGTCATTCCTTTGTTGCAATGGCAGCCTGAGTGATTTTAGGGTGCTGCCTGGAATGCAGTGACATAGAATTGTCTCATTTTGATTGGAAGAAGACCTTTCAGATCATTGAGCCTGAAAGTCCCCCCAGCACTGCCAGGTCCCCACTGCCCCGTGTCCCTCACACCACATCTCCATGGCTTGGAAACCCCTCCAGGGGTGGGGACTCCACCACTGCCCTGGGCAGCCTGGCACAGCCCTGGGCAACCCTCCAGGGCAAGAAATTGTTCCTCAGGGACAACCTCAACCTCCCCTGGGGCAACTTGAGGCCCTTTCCTCTTGTCCTGTCCCTTGTCCCTTGGGAGCAGAGCCCGCCCCCCCCCTGGCTCCAGGCTCCTGTCAGGAGCTGTGCAGAGCCAGAAGGTCTCCCCTGAGCCTCCTTTGCTCCAGGCTCAGCACCCCCAGCGCCCTCAGCTGCTCCTCCCCACACTTGGCCTCTAGACCCTTCCCAAGCAGCTTCGTTGCGCTTCTCTGGCCACGCTCAAGCCCCTCAAGGTCCTTCTTCTCCTGTGGTGCCCAAAACTGACCCCAGGATTTGAGGTGCAGCCTCCCCAGTGCCCAATCAAAGTGGATGACCCTTGCCCTGCTCCTGCTGGCCACTCCCCTCCCATCACAGAAGACAGCTGGGCATAAGTGGTCCATCTTGTCCAAGTCAGGACATTACTGGTCCCTGCAGTTCTCCTCTTGGAGGTCACTTCCCCCACCTGTCCCTGGGGGAAAGCACCAGCATCTGAACCCCAAAATCAAGAGACTGAAGATTCGACTCCAGGACTTGGATAGTTTCCACCAAACTAGAGACAAGTTGAACTTCATATTCCACCCCATCCCTGATGCATTTTATGATACCCAATTGTAAGGTGAAAAATCCTCTCACAGAACCATGAAATAAAACAAACACACCACAGGGATTTCCACAAGACTTAATTCTATATTTCACCCTGAACCTTCATTTCAACAATGAAATTGCTGACAGTAAATCGGGCAGAGATGTGGAAAGTCCTTCTCCTCAATTTTTCCTGAGCATGGATGATAATTACTGGGAAAAAAAAGGGGTGTTCACACACCATATGCTGCACTACTGAGGACCTGGTGTTTCTACTGAAAGTGAACATATTCTTGGACCTCATCCATGTCCAAATCTCAAAGAAAAGTTGGTCTTCCCTGATGCCTCTGGCAGCATGGGATGGGTATGAAGAAAGGCTCATTTTAAGCACTGCATTTCTCAGAGGAATCCTCAGAGGAATCATTTCTCAGAGGAATACTCATGTGCATAAGAAAAGAAGAATCTGGTTGGTTTTTGGGTTTTTTTTTGCCAAATCTTTGCCCTGCTGAAGGAAGTAGAAGATTTTCTTTGTGTTTCAGAGGAGGCAGGAGAACACAGGGTGCTTGTGTTCACTCATTTCCTAGAGATGAGCTCGCCACAATTTTTTAATTATTAAATATTCATTTCTCAGAGGAATACTCATGTGCATAAGAAAAGAAGAATCTGGTTGGTTTTTGGGTTTTTTTTTGCCAAATCTTTGCCCTGCTGAAGGAAGTAGAAGATTTTCTTTGTGTTTCAGAGGAGGCAGGAGAACACAGGGTGCTTGTGTTCACTCATTTCCTAGAGATGAGCTCGCCACAATTTTTTAATTATTAAATATTATAAAATTAGAGATGATTTTCAAGCCA